AAGAATACATTTAATGGCTACTTGATTTGTAAATGTTCATTTTTCATCTAACCTAAAACTAATATGCTTATTATAGGTACCCATATTCAATTTAAAAAGTCAACATTTATACTGGAATACAGGACAAATATTTTTAGCACTGGCTTTTATGTTTGTAATACTCACATTTATTTTAGATTCTGAGTAGAGAAATTAATGTATTGAATTTACAATGACGTGTTTTGTGTGTGTGTGTGTGTGTGTGTCTGTCATCATTCATCACTTTTTGGGGCAGTATAAAATTGTCTGTTTCAGAATATTTCCTGATAGAAAAGTTTATCTAGTTGTTACTTGTCAGTAATACAAATTTCCTGAAGTTGTTTACTCGAAACCAGTCTTCAACAAAATCAATTTAGTTTTTTTTCGTGTAACTCGAAAAATAATAACCATAAGTACTTTACATTACCAATGAATTATTGTATGGAAACTTCCAAAATATTTTGATTCTTTTTGAGCTACTTATAACTATGAGACATTTTTGAATTTTTGGTCGTTTACCATATCATATAATACACTACTATAAATGAAGAACATTTTGGCAATCGTATTATTGACTAGGTAATATCAGCAATTCCGTTGAACACTTATCACTGTGGATAATTGGAGTAGATTTCCATAACTGACGGTTAAATTTAATAATTTTAATCAATTTAATGTACCGGTAATTTTAATGGTAATTATTCCTAATGAAACTTTATATTACATTTTGGTTATATTACAACATTTTTGGAGGCTGGAGATAGAAGCTTTTAAAAAAAAATAGTTTTTCGCTTTAATTGAAAATAATGCGAATCTTAGATATATAATGCAAAAACGTGATAAATAGTAAGGAATTATGTATTTGTAATTTATGTATGTATGTATGTATGTATATATGTATGTATGTATGTATGTATGTATGTATGTATGTATGTATGTATGTATATATCTATCAATGTATATGTATAATTATGTATGATGAATTCGAAGTTCAGAGCATTTTACTTTGCGAAAATCAATAAAATAATACAAATCTATAATATAAGTAATTTTGTATAAAAGTACCAAGCATAACATGGTATATGATTATGTTGATTTAAGGAGTATGCTAACAAATTAATTAGTATTTCCTACTCTGATCGATTTCGTTAATGTTATGTCATATCTAGGCAATGGCCTATTCGAATTAGACATTGTCAATAACGACTCGTCACAACTGGAAATAACTGATGGTTGAAATTGACGGTAATATGAATGATACATACGTACACATCAGTGGCGCCGAAGTCCATGCTAACTTCGGGCCATGGCCCGACCTCTTTTTTTAAAACTGTGGCCAGACGGCCACATTTTATTTACATCATAACTTTATTATGAGCATGAGTATATTAAATCCACGTCACTGTAATTACGAGTAAATATATATTAGGGCAGGTACTTCTATATTAAATAATTAATATATTGAGGACTCGAACTTTCGAAATTTAACCACCACATTTTCAAAACTTCGGCGATACTGGTACACATACACTCATACACAGGTACGCATAAATAAACTAAAAACCCTTACAAAGCCAACACCCAAAACCGGCAAAATCCACATTTATAACCCTGATAATTATTTTTTAAAAAACACCAGTATTAAATAAATAATTCTTATTAATAATATTGTGCAATTCATTTATATTAATAATTAAATATTTTTTGTTATCAACACATTTTAAGGCAACATGTCTTCAGTTTTATTTAAATTTAATAAATTGAAATTTTTTCTGATTAATATTCTATAATTTAAAAAAGTCGATACAAGCATAGTTTTCGTATTAAGATTTTCTTAAACTATTTAACGCATATTTTAACCCACAATAATCCAAATAATAGCGTTTTTGAGAACTCAAATGTTTATTTTTACAATTGATTCCTGTGTTTGAACATCCAGCAAAAATAACTCGGAATCCTGAATAATCCTGATTTAAACATAAAGCCCAGATAATATTAAAAGAAACGTTTAGCACCCAATCACGTTTTTCAGTCGATTGGGCTCGGCTATTTTCGAATTGTTGTTTATTATTTTCAAGTCAGCGAGAGACGACAGAGTACTAAAATGATAAATATCAGAAGGTAATTTTTAGAAATTATTTTAAACTGTAAATATAAATTTCGTATTCAAGTAATAATTATAATACAGGAAAACATGTAAAATACAATATGTATCAACTGTTCAATAATTTATCGAATTTTTGTGAATAGAGTAGCTAGAGTAAGTACAAATACACAATAAAACCAAATTACTAGAACTTAAAATTCCACTTTAATAGCCTAGCCAGTATGCATACCACCATCAAATTATTGTGCTTGTAACAATTTATTCATGCATTTTTACGGGATGCATAATATATTACATCAGAAACTGACTCTAATGAAGTAGAAGAGTGCATATTTATGGAAAATTTAAAGTCATATTTAAGACAAAACAACGAGTTATATACAATATTTAGCTGCAGAAAATTCGAGTTGAACTATGTACGACCATGGGAAAAACAATTCGATTAAATTATACAATATAATAATATACGACATACACATATTACCATTCAATATACACTCATTGTAAGAGTATCTTGAAAAGGTATTAAATATATTATGTATACAGTTTCTACTCAGTTCCAACTCAAGTTGATCTTGATACCATTTTTACTAACATAATAATTTGATTCAATGGTTTATTATTGGTTCATGTGGATAATCGATAAACTCTACGACACAATCAAATAACATACTGTGCAATCCCTGTAACAAGAGTAATATATTACATATTATTATTTAAATACTTGAAAAGACATTTCACAAAATAAACATTATCTATGCATAATTTCCATTGATACTCATAGAAAATATATTTAATAAATCAAGCAGAATATTAATTTGCCGAATATTGTAAGTTAAAAAAAAAAGTTAAAGTAAAAAAACGAAAACTTTTATTATTATTATTTTCGAATGATATTTTATTTCAACAATGAGTGGGTGTCTTATGGATTTTCAACAGTAAGAATGAATAACAGTTATGAATTATAAAAATATATTGATACATTAAGATGGATTACATGGTTGGGCAGTCGAGTAGAGATCTCTTAAAGTTGTCCGAAATATTTATGTAATTTATGATATTATGTTTGCATATTTAAAGTGAATGATACAACACGAACTAACTAAGTTTGTTACATGTTTTCGATTATATTCTTATAAAATATTGTATTTTTTTTTTTTAACAATTGCTTATTATTTCTTGCTGAATACCTACAGAAAGTATATGATACAACGACATTACTTAACCAGTAAAGAATAAATCATAACACATTTTAATTTAATATATAAATTGTTTATTATATAATTAATTTGAATATGCTCATAAATACATCTAAACGTTTTAGTTCGTGTAAAAATATTTTAACTTCAAATAAAGTACATATACCTACACAATGTTGTCTGTCTTTTTATTGAACTCATACGCCTTGCATAAGATAAGACAGCTATGTAAAACGATTTTAAAATTTAAGCAACCATATAAAACATATTATACTAAATTATAAAGCAATGCATGTATTTTAAAATATCAAATAATCAACGAACAGTTGAGAACGCAAATAACGTACTTTGATAGTATCCAGATTCAAAATGGTATCAGAGATAAATCATCATTTTTAATAGCTTTAGCCATTCTCAAATGTCTCCAAATGTAGTTTTAACTAATTAAGTTAGCACATTTATCCAAAAAAAATAGTTTACATTTTGGTAAAAATAAGTGATGGTTCAATTCGTGTATTACTTTTATTGGTATGATGGTGGGTAATTCAATTTAATGTTCGTAGGTAACGTCAATATACCTTCTGAAAAATGCATTAATCTACACAAGGTTAAAAAAGTTGTAAAATATAAAACTATATACATTCAACAAAAGATTGATTTAAAAAATAATGACATGATTAATCTACAAAGATAATTTAACATTATTTGTTGGTTGTACGTTATACATAATATAAACCATTATATTTTTTACAATATTAATGTGTACCTTTATAATATAATATGATTTAATAAACGGTTTTATAATACGTTTTTAATATATCTATATTATATCAATTAGTAATGACTATGTGCGTCAAATATTTAATTAATATAACAATAAACGAATTTTTTGATACAGACTATTTTATTTTATACATTTTTACTCAAATTTGTATATGACAATACTGTAAAAAGTTCAGTTTTGCTTAGGATAAGTAAATTATAAATTAAGATGACAGGATAAACCTAAAGTAATATTATAGGAATATTCATAAAAGTTCGACAAAATTAGTAATAGCATGTCGGGTAGTTTATTAGTAAAAAAATGAATAGAAAATTTTCATAACGAAAAATTATCTTAAAAACGCCAACGTTTTTTAATGAAATGATATCATGGTACCCATAATGATATGCATTTATAAATAAACCTAAAAAAAAATTTGTTTCTTGCAAAATATGCTTAAAGCGTAATTTGGTTAAAAGGCCAGTTGTTGAAATTGTGTAATTAAGTAAAAACACACATAGTGTTTCTACTTAAGATATTTAAATCCATTTTATCATGCGAAGACCAAGAAAATGTTGCCATGCTAAATATTACAAAAAATAATGTGGAACCTAAATTAAAAACAACATTTTTATTGGTATAACATATTTTATCACATTAAAATCATTTAACAACTTTAATTGATCTCAGCCACAACCAATTTTGAGGTTTGCTATGTTTTTATATTATATAATAATATGTGCTACTAGTGTTTTTTAACAATTTTATGGTAGTAAATAATGATTAGTTGTAAGTATGAAATGTTTATTATATTATTGAATAAATTGTAAATTTATCATCAAAATTAAAATGAATAATTTAACCAATTTTTGTTTTGAGTTTTTATGATTAGGATTGTTTATTAAATTCCGTATTTAAAAAAAAATAAAGGTACAAACATTTATTGACTTTAATACAGGTAAGACTCTTAGGTATACATAATATATAACATATATTTTTACATTCATCGCAGAGAATTTTTCGATCTGGGCAAACAGTAGTAACTTCCATTCGTGTTGATACACACTTCGTTTTTCAAGCACCGATTGACCAATCTGCATTCGTTTATGTCTGCGAAACAACAAAAATCATGAACACAATATTATTCAGTTTAAAAATTAAAATCATCACAATTCGGCCAGTCGTATTGACGTATAGTTTAAAAAAGTAATGGATTAATTGATAAAATATATTGCCGATTACAGAGCTTACACTTTTGAACAAAATACTCTTCTTATTTAGTTCAAAAATATTTGATTAAATAAACTTTGTTGAAATAGTAAAACCAAAATGTTTGAATTGAACTCGAAACCACTTTGGTTTGTCAAAGGCAGTGTATATAATGATAGAATCGAGGAGAAAACAAATAGGTTTAAAAACTAACAAGTTATGTTAGAATTTTACCCGATCCGGGCATTCAAAAAAAAAATTTAACTTTTAAGAAAAAAAACAATTTTACAACATTTTCAAGATTTGAAAAACAACATTTTTCTACAAAAATATATTAATTACTATTTTTATCCTTAAAATTTTATAAATTTTGAATTCATTTAAAGCAAAAAGTTTTTTGAGTACCTACTTTGATATATAACAATCCAATAGTGGGCCATTATTTTATGTGGTAAGTGTATTTAAAGTTTAAATTAGTGGGGGCAAATGGTACTGCTTTACCTCACAAAATGCTGGTTTACTACTCCCACCTTCTTAATTATTTAAAAAAAATCTAAAATATCTAACTAATTGTCTGTAATTGAATTTATATAGACTGGAATACTAAAGGACATATTATTCTGCTTCAGAATATGAGATTAAAAACGTGTGTTTTCATTCAAATGTGTGAATACGTGATACAAAGTAAATGGGCCCCCACACGTACATGTTCAGTGTTGCCCATTATCTTCTTGAAGAATAAAAAAAAAAAAAAGTGATACGTCACATATCACTCTATACATAGGTACCTGTATTATACAGGTATACATAATATATACTACCCAGAAACAATAGTTGCGTCGTTCACTCTTCTCTCCAATACCACTGAATGGGTTCAAATAATCGAATGAGATTTTCACTGCTATACTACATACCGTGTTCATTATAGGAAATATTTGATATGATATGTTCTGTATGTCGTTATAGATAAATCAATTTCTTTATTAGGCAGTAGGTACATTGTACATACAAATATACGTAGTATTTAATATGTCTTGAAAAATAACTCAAGTCTAAAATGTCCGAAACAACACATCACACAATCGATGTGGACTTCTATGTCACCGACACTCGCCTACCCAGCCGACCAATCGGAAATAACGCAACAATTAATTAGTATCGTCTATTAAAGTTATACAATATGGTTTTGATTGTTTTGAATAAACAATCGTTTACCTATTTATTTTTGAAAGATTTTCAAAACCGTGTAAAAATATATAATAATGTTCATGTAATTTAATGCATTAATCATTGACAAACAGCTAGTGAGAATAATTAAAATTATAAATTGGTTAACATTCTAGTACTTCAATAGCGGTAGTTTTTACTTGTTATCTATAATACGTTTAAATATAAGTTCTAATATAGGTTTAAATACTTTGATACGTTAGATATTACAGCATATAATCATACACATGAATTATACCGAAAATATATTACCTAACGTCGTATAAAAATAAAAAAGTTTATTTTTAGTATAACTATTATTTTTTCAAGTAAATTATATCACGTATACAATTATTATTATTATATACAATAATTAATAGATAACAACATTTTTCTCGATATGGTTATAGCCTTCAAAGAACTTGTTAACCAAAGTATGACATTTTCGGGCCTTGCAAATAATAAAATTACTGTTCATTAAAAAAAAGTGCTTCATTCACTTCATTTGATTTGATAGTATATAAATATGGTCCAAACTAATTGTAGTGTGATACAAAAGAATGTAGGGAGAGGGGGGGGGCTAGGGGTTCGACAACCAAAAATAAATAAATAATAGGTAATAATAATCACAATAATTACCCGTGCACTTATTATTTTGGTCTGTTTCGTAACCACGAAGGCATTTCACACTGCTTCGATTGCTCTGATTCGTGTTGTTGAAGCCTCCTTGAAGAACTCGGCAATTGGGCCCCGTACAACGTTTCTTATCGCACCGAAAGGAACCTAGGGTATTTCTGCAGATCCAATCAGGGCCCAAGACGCCACAGGTGTCTGTTTTCAGTGCACATTCGTCGTCATCTGTGGACACAAAACGCATTTTAAGCAAACTTTTCAAGTACCTTTACATATACATATATTCAAATATTGACAAGTCTTATCGATAAAAGCTTGAAAAAAATAAAAGTCTTGTCCTAGTGGAATTCACCAATTCCTGTATAATAGTGATTTATATATTATATTGTATGTATGAAATTATAATTGTCTAAAAAAAAATTGAGTCCATATAATTTACTATTATAGTATATATTATCGGAATAGTTATGATGATAATGTCTAATGAATCGCAGTAGTCGTTTTGAATATCTGATTCATTAGTAGTGATCTTTGGAACTTCAATTACTATTCTAAGTATATATTTTCTGCAAAATTAATACAATTTTCTAGTGTCAGTAGTAGTGCAACCAAACTTATTGCATCCGTTTGTTGATTTCCAAATTTCTCCATTATTCGAGAAGGAAAATTCTAAATTTAAAATCGACAGCATCGTTGGTGGGATTAACGAGATTTGACAGCCGACCGCTGACAATAACAAGTGCTTTAAATAGGTTCAGATAATCATTTCCCTTCTGAAATGTGGGCTAAGACGCGCGTAGTCCCCTTCATTGACCATGAATGGCTGTGAATATTAAACTCAACAACGAATTCAGTACTGATCAGTGATAATCATAACATGTTTAAGGTTGTTGACATACTGATCGAAATACAATCCAAATAAAAGCTCGCAGTCAGATATACTTCTATCATCGAATCAAAAGAAAAAAAATCATAAGGATTAATTTTAGGAAAATTATACCACCTAATCTTTATATAAGTTAAATAATTTTTTTTTATATCAAATGTTTTATGATGTGTTTAATATGTTTTAATATCTAATTATTTTTAGATATTTTTTTTAAGGATTCAACATTTTATAAAATACTTACACTCGGACACGATTAAAATGTCAGTTGCAGTGGCTGACATATTTAAGCTGGAGAGTAGACATTATATACACCCCTTCTGTTTTATTCTATAATATTGAGTATTGTATCAATAACCTACTGCATTAAACTTAAAAAATAAAACAAAATATCAACCAGGAACCGCACATTCCTCGATGCCTAAAAATATTTTATTATTATACAATTTTGCAAATCTTGTCATTCTGAATATTAAAGCTTTGCTCGTGGAAAACCGATCGTAAATCTAAAATTATTATGAATATATATCTCTATAATACTTTTTAGAAGTCTTTGAACAATAGGTACATAAAATGTAACACCCATAGTTGAATATTAAGTTTTTAAAGTAGTTTTAACTATATTGACTGAAATCGTATTAGTATTTTATTAGTATTTTATTTTACACTGAAGTCGGCGTAAAATCACAACAATATCTACCCACGCTGGTCTTACTCCCTGTTAATGGGTGAGCGCCCATGACGTAAGCTGGGGAATATAAATCCGTGGACGGACGAAATGTGATCGAAAAAACATCATTAATACGGATTTCGGTCCAACCACCTAAATAACCTAATACTAGTTCACGCGATATCATATTAGTATCATTAGTGTCTAGTGTCAAATCGTTTATCTAATTGAGTATATAGACAGTAGACACAATAAATCGTTCCATTACTCCACCGAGATTATAAAATACTATAAGATCGAAAATTCAAAATATCTATAAACTGATCAAAGTTAAGTAATATTGTTTTAATTATGACTAAATAACAAAAGTGATTTTAAAATAAATTCTTATTCTACATGGGAATATTCAATGTCGTCAAAATATGAACTTCAGACGCTCGTAAAAATGTATGTGACTTTACGAGAAACTTTTTTTTAATTTCATGAATTATGAGTTTTATTTTCTAGTCAGCCTTAAGTGTTAAGATCAATTAATTTAGACTTATTGCGATCTTAAAGAATTTGCATTAAATATGTGTTACAGTAAAACAAACATTGTTTTAAATATACATTTAAATGAATTGACAAAAAAAAATCGAAAATTTAAAATATCCACAATATTATTAATTTGCTCAAAACAATGTAAAATATTTTGTAATTGATGTCAAGTCTATGGAAAATGATAATAAAATGAATAATTCTTAAAAATGTAAGTCTAGGTACTGCAGTTATTCGTTTTTGTTACCTATTGCAACAAAAAATAACAAAAATAATTTTATTCAATCTATAGTTTTGAGTAAAAATTATCATTTACTTTTAATTTTCCGATTATTTTGAAAAGTACGGTTAATGAGTCGACCGGGAAGTTTTGATCCACAACAGTAGTACCAACTAGACATAATTTACTAGCAGAAACAACACTAAAAGCTAAAGATTGGATTATTGTTGAAAGGTGATGTCAGACACACACACAACACATACAATTTCAAAACAAACACACACACATGTAAAAACGATACATTAATTACACTATTTTCAGAATCTTAAGTAGGTAACTGCAAACACTCATTAATCGTCATAAATCAAAAATCGTTCTTCTTGAAAAAATAAGTATAATATATCTATGGCGATTTGAGAGCTTCGACTGTTATATAATTGTCTTGTCTCTCTCACCTGTAGGCATCTAATTCGGATGATTATAGTAAAGAATCGTATTTAACCTACACCAGCTGTGTCGAGTGTCTATATTTTCAATGCAATATTGTATTACATGAACCCATACCTATTATCTATATAACAATAATATTGTTGCCTTCCGTTTTCCAGAAATTTATTTATTGAGCATCACTAAAATTAAAAACTGTCATTGTGAAGGTCATAAATTTCTTTTGAAATTTTTCCCGGTTCCGGAACTGATAAACGGAAACAAACAAAATATTATTGCGTAATACCACTGATAACATGACGTATATTATTATATTTGCAATGTATATATAGATATATAACAATGGCAATACGTTTCACAAGTCCAAATGTTTTGTATGGTAGTGATCGATCCGACTAGATAATATTCTATGGACCTACTGTTATCATAACGTAATTTACCACAATCTGACCTATGCATGAAGCGGATTCGACGTCGAGCGTGTACCCTGTTCCGCATCCGGTGAAACGGATACATTGAAATGAACCGGCCGTGTTGTCACATCGCTGAGATTCTTGACATGTGTGCAAGTTTAGTTGGCATTCGTTTATATCTGAAACAACGTGAATTCAATAACCTATCATTATAAATTTTTTTTTTTATTAATTTTGTTTCTATTTATTCCTCAAGAAGACAATGCGGGCCCCGCCGACCATGTTCGTGTTTATGATGTTTCATGTTCGTTTAATTATAATAAAATATGTAACCTTAGTGTGCACATTATTGTATGGTTAAAAATATACAATTATATTATTATATCATGTATGATATATATTTGTTATATATAATAATATTTTAGGTACCTAGGTCAGGTTTTAGGTTTTAGGTAGGTACCCATGACACAAGTCAGCAGCTACATCATATTTTTCAGTAAATATATATAACACTATAACAGATACCCACCTACCTATTATCATCGATTAAATATTCAATTCTATTATGTTATCGACAAAGCTCGACCACTGGGTAGTGAAACTAGGATTTATTAGCTTGGTTTAGGTTTCACTAATCGTATCTACTCATAGTGATAGTTGAAAAAAATAATTATTTTATTTTATCTTTCATACTAAAAGCATAAGTACAGCGTATGTTGTAAAAATCATGACAGTAAAACTGACTAATCCATAACAGAAAACTTTTATCAATATGGATACTAAGTAATAATTAAAAATTTAAAACTTAGTTATAATATGTACACAAAAATAAATTATACAAATGGTTATTAATGATATTTTTTTTTTTTGAAAATTTTCAGCATACTCTTAGAAACATAATTGAAAAAAATTTGTTTCCCACCTTCTAATATTTATTTAAATTATATTGGATAATTAATTATCGTTTATTTACACGAAGTATACTATTGTGATTAGTTTACTGTGTAGTTCTACATAGTACTTCTGCATAGTATATTCGATTGAAAACTCACTACTTTTTTTTGGTTCTACTATTTTTCTACCAATTGTATTTTAAAACTCATTGGCTTATGTCAATATTAAACAAACTGTACTTAACAAAAGCCCAAATAAAATAAGACTTTTCAGCTTTAAATGATTAGTAAATCCTATAGTAGATACTGATAAACTAATATGAACTAATAAACCTTACATTTACCTAGTGGACGACATCTGTAACATACATTTATTATGTAGTATGTACATATAACTTTGTTAGTGGTTTATTTATGGGGAAGTTCAAGGGGTCTCCAATGCGCTTCCTCTACTTGTATTTTATTATTTTTTTTAAGTACTTGATTGGACTTAAAAAGGAAAAAAAATACTTTAATCTAAAATATTGATGATACAAATCGTTTTGCATTTGGTATCATGATACCATATGTATCATAGATAAAAATATAAACGTTTTGTAAACATTTCATGTGATACAGGTACATTAAATAGTTTTTTTTTAATATTCAGTTGTAATTAACAACAATATTTTCAATCTCTTATTGGTTGCAATGTACTGAGATTTTTAGAATTTTAATTAGGAATTTTGCGATCAATTGTATACATTTTATGAACACGACAATCATTTAAACGTTTTTTTGGCATTATAAGGTGGTCATCAAATTAGTATTTATAACTATAATTATATTCCTGGCTATTATGGCTATTGAAAAAACAAAATAAACATGTTACCTGTGCACGCATTAGTTACTTAGTCCAATTGATAACCACTTTTACAGTAACATTTATAGCTTCCCGGTAAATTTTTGCATTGTTCATTTATATCACAAGGTCGTTGAGAACATTCGTCTATATCTGTAAAACAATTTGTATTAATTACCAACAATTTAAATAAATATTTTTGTCTACTACATTTTAATAATAATTTTTTTTTTTTTTTTGGGGGGGGGGGAGCGTAAGGTGTTAATTTTTTCCGCTGTCTGATTTTAAAAACAACAGACCGATTGTCGGTGAAAAAGTAGACATCATAACTATTTTTATAATTTCGAGACAATTTAATATTGAGTAAGTACTAGAATTTATTGTTAGGAAATAATAATTAATATTTGTAGTTTTAATTTTTAATTTTAAAGTTCAAATATTATATAAACGGGCATGCTGCATGCAAGTATACGATTTAGTGGACTGGTCAAAACTTTTGAAATGAGGCCACTGATTAGAACACTTTTCTATATTATTTTTAAAAAGGCTTATGGTGGGATCTGACCCACACATCCCCTCGAATACGCCTCTGAGTCTACAGATGATAAGTTTAAAATATTTTCGGAACTCTAAATATTTATTGATTCTCGAAGTGGATGATGGATAAAATAAGTTTGAGAACCTGTGGTCTATACGAACAACTTTCTTTTTATTTTATAAATTTGTCACTGTTAAATAATTTTGAACAATTAATAACATTTATTCGTTTATTTTTTTATTTATTTATTGAAATATACGGACTTACGTCCTATTAAAATTTTTGAAAAACATGTCTACAGAGAATAAAAATAAATTAATGTACAAAAAGAAAATGAACTATTAGTATAGTCGTATTTACCCAATATAATTTAATAATTTAGTTTTCACCGAACGTTATAAAACTCGAATATTTTTTTCATACTAACATACTTTACACTAGGTTATACACCTTTAACCAAATGTAAAAGTATTTATATTTTTTTAAATATACCCAAGTGTATCATAGTTTTTCTTACAGCGAACACTCACGTAGTCAATTGTTCAACATTATGTTTGATGGTGGTTTCAATATCAACTCTAGATTTTTAAGTTACAACTTAAACTATGTTTTGTTAGGTGGGCATAGAAATAATATTTTTTTTAAGTACAGTAAGTTCCGCTTAATGTGATCACTGGTGTATAGAATCAACCATTGATTAAAATCAAAAATGAAAATCCCATAACAAATCGCATTTTTCTAATGTTAAATTAACCTTTTATTCGAATCACTAAGTACCAGATCATTGAATCACTTTTATGAACAATATCGTTCTTATGTTATTTCAAACTGAACAATTTATAAAACCCATTTAATTTTGAACTTATCTGCAGTATGACAGTACATTGTTAATTTTAATTTTACATGTTCAAAAACCATAGAGTACATTTTATTGTTATTTTAAATTATAACAAAGTGGCCACATGGAATTCTGGACTAAAGAAGAACCTCGATTGTCCGATCAAATTGGGACCGCACCTAGTTCAAATACTGAAAATTGTTTAAAAAATACAATTTTTTTTAAACTTTCAATTGTACACACAATATTATATATTATTATGTATTACATATGTATTGTTATTATTAGGCATATTAGAATTCCATTGAGTACATTTAGAAAATTAGAAATATAAGTTAACACGAAGTACATAGGAACATAATATGATCATAAATTTCTGCTTTTAGCTCCATCACAAGAACATTACGTTTATGTTTACATATTTAACAAAATGCACATGAAACGTGTCCACGGTAAAAAACCAAACTAAATTGATAAGTAGAGCAGTAGAACGTTGTTTAGATAAACCCATTGCGTTTCGATTATCTACAAAACATATGTAGACATACATGTACATAATAAATTAAGATAATGATAAAATCGGGTGTACAAGTGCTTCAACAAGTTGTAACGTTCGGATAATATAGCGTCCGTATAACGGAGGTTCGGAAAATCGAGTACCTAAATAATGTACCTAGATATTATCATATAATAATATTTATTTGTTAGGAACAATTAATTTTCAAAATTACCTTCGCATTTTTGTTCATACACATTATAAGCGTATCCAGGGTCACAAATTTGTTTTCTTTTATGCATAGTTAATTTTTCAGGAACCATCGACGGCATCGATGGTTGCAGGCGTGGTTGGCATTCAAATCCATTGTCTGTGATTATACATACTTCACTGGACGTGCAACTATGAGTTCCAAGAGTACAAGGATTTGTGTCTGCACATACATAATTTGAAAATAATATATCCAATAAATGTATAATAATACCATTTTGTAATAATATAAGTCTTTAAGTATAATATATTGAAACTCAATCTAACACGCTTTTTAGATTATTGTTATTGAAGATTTTACCAATAAAAAAGGATAATAAGAAAATGTTATCATAAAAAAATTGCTTAATATCTACGTTGTTCTTATTTATTTTGGTTAAGTTCGGGGAGGTAATGATTCAACAAAGATGTCTATGAGACGTCTTGTGAATGTATACCCATTTACTAACTAGCTAATAAGTAAGTCTACTAGTCTACTCACTTAATTGATTAATATGAAACGATCACGTCATCACGTACCTACCTACGAGTTTACATTTAAAAAAAAGTTAGACATTTGATTTAAATCCTAATGTAACACTACCATGATGAGATTATCTAAAGTATAAATTGGTACTTTTTTCGAAAAATTATTATTTAAATTCATTTGAGATGAACGACTTTTGTTCAATGGGTTTGGGACTTATAGCACTTAATAACACAATAATATACATAACAAATTTTAAAATATGCATTTAATATATTTATTATTATTTATTATTTTATTAATAATTATTAATTACAATTAGTGTACTTAATGTAAAAAAATTTTTAAAAAATCAACTGATTGTTAACTTGTTTCATGAATTTCCGAGTTTTTTGAATTTTATTCGTCAACTATATAATGATGGGAAAAATCAAAAATTAAATTGTTCATTTACAGGGATACCTTTAGTTTCAAAGAACGTTTAATAAGTGCAATATATTAAAATTATCGTATTGCTCGTATAGCCACATATTATATAATATGTAACGATACGAGCCAGTGGCGTATATACGAATTATTTTCACTATGGGCCGATTTATCAATTATCACTAGTCAAGCAGCATAGCCATAATTATACATTTTTAAGGGAGCAGCTGTTATATAATTAAGAATTATGACATATTATACAGTTCAAATAAAAATTGCGCAATTCAATTTTATAATTATCATGTAAAATTAATTTTTTGTTTCTTTTTTTAAAAGTATTGACAGTGTCGTTTGCATATTTTAATGTTATCTTACTATGAATTTAACATCAAAGTCAATAAGTCATTAAAGCAAGTCTCGTCAATATATCTAACATTTCCTTGTAGATTACTCAAAAATGATTTTAATCAACCGGCTAACTTAATCATGGTGAAAAACTGTTAACAGTGTAAATATACATGCAATGCTTTAATTGAACCTGCAATTTCACTATGGGCTCTGGCCTAGGGGGCCTCCCCCCTATATACGACACTGATACGAGCAATCAGGCAATCATAATATTTTCAAGCCACGAAAACTATAAGGAATTATGAGTTGTATATAGCAAATAAAAACATAAGACTGCGAGTAAGCTGCATTACTATTTTCTTTTTTACATCGGGTGAAATTGGTAAAGTTGAAATTTCGAAAATTTTTCTAAAATATGCAAATTAAGCACAATAACGTAAAAATAAGCAGTTTCCGGCAAAATTGATGAAATATGAAAAAATATGCAAATTCAAATTTTAGATTTGGTATCACGGCATTGAGAAATGAATTTATTTCGCACTCTGCTACATTTTACAATAAATAAAAAAGTATGCAAATGCTATAAGCCCCGAACCTTGAATTAATCAATATCAATAATTGATACAGTTAAATTTGTATGTAGATAAGTACACATTACAGAATTAATAGGTAAAACTGAAAAGTATATGGGTAATGTTATAGTTAAGAGTGAAAAAATATATTTTGTACTTCAAAATAGCGTTTCTTAGTTTCTACGATTGTAACGAAATATTATGTTTAATGGGTACTTTAATCTAAAGATATTTATTGAATTGTAATTCATTTATTCAACATTGAAGAATTATACTAATTCAAAATAATGCGAATTTGAGAAAAAAATATTCAAATTTAACTGACCCGCAGATTCCACATAGTTTTTTTTAGTTTCAGTCGAAATTGATTTTACTTGTGTACTAGCTATACTGCAGCATGACTGATAAACTTCGCCCCATTGATGTTCGTGAAACAATGGAGTTGATTGACATATAGTTTTTGTTGAACCGACAGCAAAGCCGATTTTACATATCTCACAGCATATCTATTCATAATAAATAATTACAAATCACAAACATAGTCTGATATAGTTAAAATGTAAATATCTCGATGTCATAGTCCCATAGATATTTTAAAAACTAGGTGCTACCCATTTGTGATGGTACTATAATGAACAATTATTGTCTATCTATTATAAAATACTTTAATAAAATTACTAATATCACAATAATTAAACAAATTTTTTAGTACTTAGGTAAATAATACTACACCTTAGCAGATTAGCTCAACAAATATATAAAACCATTACACATAGTACAAAATGTAATTTAAAATAAAGTCAAATGTAGGTAGAAAATAGTACACAATACCGTTTAATGAGTTAATATAGATGCTTCTAAAGTTTTTTCTTAAAGTCATAAATAATAAACCAATTAATGTTTTAAAAAAATATTTATTAATCTATTTGATCTAACCAGACTTCTCGAGTTTTAATAGAATACAAATATCAACATTTTATAAAACAACTATATTTTTGAAGTTAAAACAGTTTATTTTGGCTGCTATTGAAAAAACATACACATCATTATAATATAAATACAAATCCCTAAAAATACAAACAGACGTACGTCAGTCGTTTTAATTTAAATATACCTTTTGAGTTTTGATTAAAAATAAGCTCTTGAAAAGCTTTACCTCAAAGGATCCCAAGCCATACACTATATAAGTGGCAGAGAACTATATGGTTTTTTGTTTTTATATTTTCCGTTGGCACATGAATAAATTATATTTAGCTTGTTTAACCTAGAATGAAACCGTTTTATATATTTGTATGAAATCACGTATTCAAATCCCGACCAATTTGTTTTAAAAATTTAACATTAATTTCCGCATCATACTTATTAGTTATTATCTTATAGCAATTAATAATTTATTTTGATTTTTGTATGTACGTTCAATCGAATAATTTTATCCGAATTAATACTAAAAAAAAAAATAAACTCTACAATTCATACAAACATTGAATTTTTTGTAAAAGTGTAAAACGGATACCTACTTATTTCCAAACAAAATTATTTATTAAATGTTTAAACACTGCCTGTAGAGCTGTCAGTGGGAGGCTTCTCCTTTCTGTATAGTTACTAATATGCAACCTCATTTATGCTTATTATACAAAAATTGTATGGATTGTAAAAAGTAAAAAAAGATACTCAATACGCTTTCACCAACGTTCGCAAAAAATTCGAAAAAAAAATGAACTGCAAATATCATAATTTATATTGTGTACAACGCAGTATGTCAGTAAGCCCGTATATGAGATAAACACCTGTGTAGGTACCTTATTTTTTGACGTATTATGAACTTGGATATTTTCAATAACAGACATATTCTACCTACTGCAATAGTATATTATAAAGAGCTGGGATTCAGTGACTGGAAATCGTGGCTGCACCTTTATTGTGTATTTGTGTCAATGTACTAAATATTTATGATATCACACTTAATATGCATTAAAATATAGTATCGTGTTCAATAATAAGTTAATCTACATAATATTGTAATTTTAAAATATGCAGTTAGGTTTAATTATAATTATTGTTGCATAGTAACCAAAGTAGGTATGCATTTAGGGCATACTAAATCGCGTTCTTCCGAGAATATTTATCTTAGTAAACTATAATTTATGTATTAAATTATAAATGTAACGTATCATTACTTTATTACCATGTATTACAATACACGTCATGTCCTACTCGTTAACCGCACAACATCATACAAAAGAGATAAAAAAAAACGTCCGTTATAATATCATAACAATACTAAGTAGGCGCCTACTGACTAATACTAGTAATTAACAAGTGCCTTTATTTAAATATGAATTTATATAATATAATATAATAACCTACATAATAGTTGCATATACTTACCATAAAATCGACTTGATTTCTTCCCATCATTTGTGTTTTTTCGTTGCAAATTCCATTTTCCAGCCCTATCTGTTTTCCCTCGTTACATCGTATTTCCCTATAATTTATAGCAATATATATTCAAGTTGAAAATAAGAATGATTTTTATTTTTATTAAATAACATATTCTTATTTCTATCGAAATAATATCATTATTATCATTATCTATCATTCTGATTTTAGAATGTACGTATGTAAAATGAGTAATGACTAATACTTATTATTTAAGCTGATGTAAAGTATCTAAGTTATTTTTTTTTTTTTATGAGAGTTTCCAGAGTGCATCCCAAGAAAAAAGATAAAATTGTTTACGTAGCCCGAACTCATCTTTGTTTATAGTTACATGTGAACAGAGAGGCGGTTTTATTATTTTAGATTTTTAGCTTACACCAATTTTTACACATTTTAAGTTTTATAATAATTGTTTTCTTTTAGTACTTATCCATGATTAATGTGTCCATTTTTTAAAATTTGGAAAATTGAAAACACGTGTAACTTTTGATCTATTATAGCACTATATGTATATGATGTATATTCAGTAATAATCACACTTATTGACCAAAATGAACCTCAATCGTACTATTTTATCATAAATTTTAAAATAAAACGTGGTTTCCCACAATGTCCATGGTTGTTGTAAAAAATGACCTTTATATAAGTGTACATTTGTACTATAATAGTCAATCGGTTTCGTCTCCAAAAAGTATTGACTGTAGACCGAAGGACACACTCGGGCGTTTTAATGTAATTTACCAATAAGACTGTGGACGTACACAAGCTATAAAAAAAAGGTAAAAGTTAAAAGCGGGACGGATTTGGAACATTCTTATTTTCATGACAGGCAATGATAAGTTTCCACTGTCCACAACCCACAAGAATCAAAAGCCAGCTGCAGCTAAGTCACGTAATAATCTTTCGTTCCGAATATTTCGTTACATGAGGCCAATAATATGTTCATTTTGTTGGTGTTATTGTTTTTTTAAACTTGAACGTGACTCTTGCCTATTTGTCGTATTGTAATAAAAAGATACCAATAGTGGTATATTCGTGTTTGTTGATAAAGTTTAAGTGGGCTCGGACATATTTTAACAATTTACCTCGAGGATTTTTATTTTTTTTTAGTTTTAAATTGTTTTGAAAGACGTTTATGGTCAATATCATTATTTAGTAAAATGAAAATATAAATTACTGTGTATTAAGACCAGTTATGGAAACATCACACTTCAGACATTGATGATAGATATTTTATATGATTAAATAGTGAGTAGATTGAAAAATTATTAGTTTATTCAGAAATCACTTTTGGAGTTATCTGTAACAGCAAAAAAATCTCAACACTAGTTTCAAAAAGCCATTGTCTGCGTCGCATGTAGTTGAGTACAGAGAAACTTAAAACAATGTGGTTTTTGTAAGTGGAAGTACATTGTTATAAACGTGGAGAAACTTGTGAACAAAAGGCCAGTTTAAAGTCTTGTTCATCCGAATTAAATTTGAAACAAACATTGAACATCATTTTGGCAATGATTATATTGTACATTATATTGTACATTATGTTGTAGACTCACTCGAACCAACATAACAGTTCATTGTTTACTGCAAAATCGCTCTATTGATTGCACCAGCGAATTCATAATGACAGCACGACAGTCTGATATTCGTTGTCTAGTCTGATATAAATGATATAATGTAGGAACATGAGGTTATATTTTGTTTTATTTAAGTTTATAGAATAAGTATTTTGGTCCTTTAAGAACCGAAAATTATTTGTCATTAATTATTCAGTTTAAAAAAAAATTCGAAAATTTTATTGACAAAAGTAAAGTTATGAAATGTGCATACATAATTTGAGAGTATTTGATAGATTATGGTGTACAATGAAATAGTCTACGTTTTAAAAATAATTTTGAAATCATGACAACAAACTGCAGTGGATAAAACATATATTTGTAAATATTTTAATAAGAAGTAATCACAGAAACTAAGTTTGAATTTTAAAAGTAACTCATAAACTATTCAGTCGTGTTAACGGAGCTCCACTCCAATAATATTATTCTAATCTCCCAGAAATTTATTTGGCACCTATGGTATGATACTTTTTTATTTGGATGGATGTACTTACAATTGGGTTTATAATTATGTAGTATTTAAAAAGATTAATAAAATGCAATAAAATATTAATATTAATATAAATATAATATAATATAATAAATGATTTAACCCTTATTAAGATCCAAGCTTATTTTCTAATGTTAATAGAAATTTATTTCAATAATAATATTATACGTACTATAAAGTAAGTAGTGACCTAACCTAATCTGCATGTGATAGAGATTATTAACTGCAATAATGCACTGGCACACTGCTTTCACTGATAAAATTGACACAATATATGCCAAGCCACACGCTATGGAAGAGTAATATTAATATTATATCACCGGATACCGACTATCACATTATAATTATTATTATTGTGGTCTCGTAATTCGTCGTTAACGGAAGATATTACTATGGAATGTCTTTTTTTTTAAATCTGGGCTAGGGATACAATACTAATTACACCATGTTAAAATACATACCCCCTTTTTAATGCGAAAATTATACATTTACTAGGTGTCAAGGTAAAACAATTTTATTTTATATTACATACCCTCCAAAAACTGACGGACGGCACGTGGTGATTATATTTCAAAAGTTAAATTAAGGTTTTACGAACGCAAATATATTAACACATAAGTACTGCAATAATTTTGGAACGAACTATGTAGCAACAATATTACAATAAGACATAACCGTAATTAATATTTTTACACTGTTCTTAAAAAAAACCTATATAGAATTAAGTTGCGTAACTATTTTACAAACATTTATTTAGGGGTAACTTGGATTTTAAAAATTTATCTAAGTAAATACTCTTATTATTATAGCCAAGGTTTCCATACTTATACAATACTTATACCAAGTACTAAAGTACACAAATAATCAAATCGGCAAGCATCTTACGAATGAAGTGTACCAATGGCCGATGACTGCAGGCATATATTTGCCAAGAATTTTATTTGAATATTCGACTTAAATAACGCCTTTGACTTTTGTGACATATTCATACTGAAAATCTACGGAAGACGAACAAGTGACCAACAATTGTAAAGTGGACCGTTTCTACGACATTATGATGGAACATACCATGCAACATACCTTAATCTACTGACTACGAGTGATGAATACGGCTCTAATTCTGAAAATATTTCACAATTTTCGTATATTACTATAAATGTATTTTTACTGATACTAAATAAAAATTCAATTGATTGAACTTATAATTTTTCCAAAAATATAGTACCTACCAATAAAATATAATAATATTATTATTATTATTATTATTAACTTATAAATCAATACCGAAGTACAGAAAACAGATGTAAACTGTAAAGTACGTTGACTCGTATAAATTGTTCAAAATTAATCTCAGAATTTACAAAATGGCATTGTATATAATAAATGAAATCATAATAGTTCATGGAATAGTGGAAAATTTTAAGTTATATGTTTAATATCTTTTGAATTAAAGTTCAGTAATAAACGTTTGAGGAAAAATAGTTACTATACGTTTTATCATATCTTCACAATTTGAACACATGCCTAACGCTCATAAAAAATGTACTAAGTCACATGCATTGCTACATTACAAATGCAATATTTTTTTTAAATTTCCTTCCAAATATGAAATGACGGTATCTCAAGAAGACACACATTTTTTTAAAACCATATCATTTCTAGAAAAATAATAAGATCCGTGAATATTTGGTGAAAATATCAAGTCAGATGTCTCTAATTTTGAACAAAGCAATCGTTTTATAATGATGTGTGTGTGTTTTAAGAGTCTGAATACATTTTTACTTGGTAGACGAAAAAATGCTTAGATTTTCAATTTTGATGAGGGTGGTTTATTTTAGCAACAAGCTAAAACAAACACATTAAAGCCATTAGCTATAAACAGCTAATGGCCATAATTGCCGGATTTTAGATCAATAAAAAAAAAATAGACTGACTCATCAGAAATTCTGGTCTCCACTCAGATTTTATATAATTTAACACATTCGTTACAGCGGGCCACATGACACTTATGTGGGTTACGGCGCCAATCGGTACCAACTTATACACCTGTTTTATTTTTATTTTTATTTTGGTCTCTGGATAATATATTAAAAAGTACTGAGAATTTTATACTTTTGACAATACTTCAAATTAGATACAATTTTCTATTTGGAATCACCTTCGACATTGAAGGTTGAATAATTTTATCTGGTATGAATGGATAAAATGTATCTTTAATTAACTTGCTTTTCTATGAATTACAATAAAAATTTAATTGTTTACGACAAGGCAAAAATATAGTTTTCTGTATGGTACTATCATGTATACCTACATAGTATTTCGTATAACTTATATAACTGTATAATGACTGCAGCATGAGTAATTGTTTTTCTACATTACAATCTCGTAATTATGCATTAAACAACAATGGTACAGGCCAATTTTAATTTTCTTTGAAAAAGTATTTTAATACATTAAAGATTTTAAATTATTATGATGAAAGTTCCATTTAAAATTGCCCATATACGTATTCTAACCGTATTTCTAACCACTTAACATTTACTGCATTTACTTCACGTCCGTCTACGATTTCCAATCAAGCAATTTTCGTAATATTTCAAGGGAAAACAGGCCCTTCATATTTTCAATTTCCGATCACTGGTACATTAATCAGTGTTGTAAGGTGTGACAACATTTCGGCGAAAATACTAAACGAGTCTTCTAGTGAACTTGCGAGGCTTATCACTTCCGGCCCGATAAAACGCATCGCAGCATCGCCGGTACGTGTATTATTTTTTGTGTTCAGTTTATTAGACAAAAGTCAATATATTCAGTCACATGTATAATGTATATTATAATCACTGGTTCCTCCTTCTGACTACTGTATGTTTATATATGATGCATTTATGGGTATTATTTAGGGTTTGGTGTAAATAGTTCGTCGTAGTCGAATATTACGTAATGTATATATACTATATAGGTTTGTAAGATCATTTTACAAATGAAACAATACTTTCGTTATCACTTAGTTCTTAATGAGTAAAAAAAAATAGACACATAATTTTGAAATTTATCACAGGACTAAACGTAATAGCTTGTATTTTTTAAAAAAGGTAAGTGGTTGCCACTTTGCTGTATAATAGGTTTCGAGTCACTGAATATATTATTGTATACGATACACGATTCTAAATTGAGACTATCCTCAGCCCAGGATACTATATTATACTATACTTATTTCATTGATCACACAAAGTTTCACAAAACCTACACAAGACCACTCAAAAAATAAATTTAATTTTATATTTTAATATAATTTATCATCATTTTTAATTATTATGATTTTAATACCTACCTAACTTGTTATAAGTCAATAGTCTTACGAATGAAGTGATATATTCACGTATGTGATATAAACATCTTAAATTTCTCTATGGTTAGAAAATAATTATATACATAATGGCAAAAACTATTAAGTTTCTGCGATTGTTAAAGTTTTCGAATTACAACAAAAAAACTACGTTGTCCTTCGTTGAAATATTCAAATTCGTAAATATTTGAAATTCAAATGTAATTAAAAAAAATTATGTACTTTTGATATTTTTTAATGGTGATAAACGAAACTTAAGAGACATTGTGCACTAAATGTTCTGGTCTCATCTTTACAAACTGAACATTTTTTTAATTTTTAAATACTTTTTAATAATTTACAAATTGTTATGATATTGTCGAATTTTGTTAAAATATTAACTTCAAACGCCTATAAACAAAAATTGTGCCTATGTATTTTTAATATTTTTAAATTACGATAAGATAAATTAATGTAGAATATTTATTTGCATATTAAAGTGTATTAACTGAGAATAAAAATATATGAACATTTTGAAATAAAAACTAAAAAATTCAAATGCCTATGAATAGCTTAATTCGTCTGAACTAATCGACTTTTTTTAAGTTTCTATGGATAATAGTTTTTGGATTACAACAAAAAAACTAAAATTATTAGATAAGAAATCGTTATTTACTTAATTTTCTATAATTGATCAGAAGCTCATAAAAAATATTTGTGGATTATAGTTCTAATTATTTCTTTTAATATGCATCTAAGAAAAAATTATAATACGGAACCCTGTATGAAATTTTTAAATCTTAACTATGATTCTTTAACTATAAAATTATTTGTAAATGTTTGCGATTTACTAAATATCCTAAAAACTTGAACTTATAAAAACATTTATAAAAAAATATTCTGATTACAAATGATTGATATTTCATCATATATATTTCAATTGATTATTTATTTTTAAATTTTAACTACTTATGAGGACCTTTCTGAATTTTCAAGCATTTTTACCAGAAAAATAATTTTTTCATAGATTAAATAGGGAAAAAATGAAAAAAAGTTGAAAATTTAAGCTACCCAAAATGGCATAAGTAATAATAATATAATAATACGACCTTAATTAAATAGCACAAAAAAAAAAACCAAAATATTTCTAAAAATATCAATCTCTTTCAAGTCTTCGTTTTACACTTCTACACCAGCCGGGACATATTAGGACGTTATTATTGAGACATATTTTTGTATCAATAATAATATCGACATTTTGTAGGAAAACTTTTTAAATACATTTCAAAACCACTTAGCTATATATTTTTGATTTAAAACCTGCAAATTTTTCCCTAGCACAATAAAGTTATTATAACAATAAATAGTTTCACTAATGTTGACAGTACCAAAAGATTAATTTCCACCATCCTGTTACGGAATCAAATATAAAATACTCACAATAGAGTTAAATTGTTAAAATATTTTATATTTGTATGGGTATATATATTCTTACAGTTGAACGGTTTTATTATACAATATACGCCTTTATTTTTCATGTTAAAGTTTTTTATACCTATTGTCGAGAAATCGTAGAATTGTACCCAAAACGAGAGACAGTTTTCCAAACAACACAATTTCGCGCTTAAATCGGCGAGAATAATAATGGCAATATACCTATTGTATAATATTATTACCTACTATGGAACAGTGATAAATAAAATAATTCAAAATCGGAGGTCTTACAATAATAATATATATTATGTTATAATAATAACTATACATACCTCAACGAATGCAAACAACAAGCCCCGACCGTGGTCAGACACATCGTATTGTGTTCGACGTTGACGTTGAACAAAGGGAACGACAGGGTGATATTGCACGATTTTTTTTCCATGCTCCACGTTTTTCCCGTATTGCAACAATGGTTTAACGTGCTTTCCAAGTCCCCTGTACAGTTGAACACATTATCATTAATATTGCGCGATCGCCGCGATGGACGAGTGAGAATGCGAGTGCGGGGTGCGCAAAGTCAAGCGCCATTGAATTACGTAGGTATAACCGAGTACGGAGTGATTCATTGTAACTGGCCGAACGCTTGTTTCAATAGAAGAGTTTTGTATTTTTTTAAAGTTAAGATAATCATTAGTATAAAAAGTCAAACAGTTGACTGTATTTGGTTTTTTAAACGTAGTGGTTGTCTTAGATTTTAAATGTGGAAGAAAACGGAATCTCATTTTGCCGTAGGGAAATGGTTCACGTCTAAATGAGCTGTCAATCTGTGTTAAAAAAATGTTGTTTATTTTTATCAATATAAACGTTTTAAGTTAAAGCAAGTGTATATACAGTGAAATAAATAGGTAATAGTGGCAAGAGGTCAAGACTCCGCAAAAGTGTAATAGTCCACTCGGTGGCCGAAAATAGCCGAAATTCTCAGAGGGAAGAGTTCCTTTAAGGTTAGGGTATAGTATTACAATTAACAAGAATGTCGGAAAAAAATTAAGAAAGTAAATGTATAAATGTATAGCATATTAACATGGCCTGTTAAGATTTTGTACAGCTGGTCCGTTACTTGGAGCATCATTAATCAAAGACCATTTTGTTCAATATCCAATAACTGCAAAAAATGTTTAGAAAAGTTTTCTGCTTGTGCAATTAAGTAATAAAACTAAACTATTTAGAAAAATATAAAAACGTACAGAAATTGTAAGAATTTGCCTTAAAATATCAGTGTACCTCCAGAAAGTTGGACGGATAACTTCTCGGGGGAGGTACATTATATTATTGTAATATAATTTGTATAATATTATTGTAATTTATGTAGGTACTGTGTAATTAATTTTTAATGTATTAAATCATTGTTAAATATAATAGGCAATGTTATAGACATCGTAAAAATTAATATTGTGATCACAGTTCCGTTTTAAATTAATAAAAAAAACGTGGCGTGATGACATAATACAATAGTTGGGTGCCGGTATACATAGGCATAGAAAAGAGGAAGATCGTAAAATATACTTGCCGGCTGAAAACGAGTATTGAACGAAAAAGGTCAAAACCAACAATATCGTAGTGACAGTCTCCATTTCGTAACGTTTTTCGAATATTGCACTTTTCCGGAACGGTCGACGATTGCCGGTTATTCGATACTGGTATTGTTCCGGGCGGACGTCCGTCCAAATCGGCTATCGGACAATAAATGTAGAAAGGACGACGCTGTTTCCAATAATAATAATAATATTATAGTAAACGAGATAAATATTAATATGATGCGCGGTGACACGACATAATATAATATTTTGATATGCAGTGCGCAGTGATTCTGAGTACTTGCAATACCCGTGATTACGCAGTAAATTACACTATTGTTTATCTGCGCGACCATTGCAGCGGACTATAGAGTATTAGAGTGATAGAGTCTACACATTTTGTTATTATTATTATTATTATTATTATGCCACTCGCGCCACTAATAAATGTGCTGAACGTCTGAATAAGACGCACGTGCAGATGCTGTGAGAAACAAAAACAAAATATCAATGTTATTTTCATATGTTAACAGATAATGCTTCTATTGTAAATCGTATTATTATTGACTAATAAATATCAATATTTATTTTAATGTTATGCATACGTCGTACCCACTCCGTTTCTACTCCGAATTATTGGTGGACATTTTTTTTAATCTTAGACTTGCAGAATGAGACAATATAATATTATCTTGGGAAATAAAATTGATTAAAAAAAATGTTTAAAAGCCCTGTTTTTTCTACGATATTGCATAGTTAGGTACACAATAATATTCCTGTATTATGCCTACATATAATTATGATTGTAACATGATATAGTGATGACTGATGGACGATATAATATAATAGCGGTGCTCACCCACTATATGCCTCCACGAGTATAAATCGGGATGAGTATAAGTGTTATACATAATACAAAAGTACCTATTGTAGTAAACCGAATTTCGTATTGTTACTATTCATTACAGCACTCTGTACAGTGTTCTCTTTGTCCTGTATATAGGTACTCAAGTTTAGTGCGTACACACGGCTTACACAATATATTATAATGAGTACATAATACATGCATAACTGGGGAAGCTAACTCATTTTTTTCAACTCCTCGTCAAGTCAACATTGAAGAATTAAAATCGAGCTGATATTGTTTAACTTTTAAAAGTTCCAAGCTAGATATAAAAAAAGTAACTTAAATTTGTTAAAAATCAAGTAATTTTTTTTTAATTAAATACAATATTTACAATCTATATCCAAGCATTACATGCGAATTGTATAAGTTAAATAAAAAAAATAACACTTATAAGAGTAGAGTAGTGTTATTGACAGAAAAAAACAACTACTGAAAAGAGGTTGCAGGCTTATCCGGCAAGCTCAGTCGGAGAGGCCCTTAATCGAATTGGACGCCACTATGTCGTATTATTTGCTATACCTATTATTCCCTGGTAACGTAGGTACAACTTTGAACATACAATTAATACAAAGATACCGTGACTATACATCCCCCTTTCGGGCTTTGTGTCCCCCTGTCTCCGAAGAACCTAAAAATCCACTTAGAGAAAAGGTGGCCTGTGGTTGGTATTTAAATCAACCAAATTCATTATGTGGTTAGATATATATATACATATTATACTATATACATACGTATACCGTATACATGAACTGTAAAAGCTTAAGACCCATAGTCCATAGATAAAAATGATACAAGAAGTACCTAATTGTAGCTGCGGCTAGTTATCACTTATCGCTGGTACCGCGTCGTCTGCGAGAATCGCCAATAAATGGACTACACATTATATTGTTATTTATTATTAGAGCTAGGACTTAAATGACCTAAAAAATACACAAAAATGCACTGAGAAAAATGCAAAAATGACATAAAACTCTAAAAAATGAACTTATAGATTTTAATTTTAAAATAAATAATTATTATTTATTCATTTTTGATATTACACAAAAATAATAATTTTCCCGATTCTGCGACAAGTGATAATAATTTTATCGAAAAAGGGTTTAACAGCGATAATATTATGGTATGTTGTAGATATCATTTCAAAGGTACTATTTTTTTAAGAGAACTATAGGTACTAACTGAGATTGCCTATAAAACACATATTAAAAAAACTTCAAATATACGAAAATTAGTTTAAATACACAAAATGAATGTAATATTTGTAAAAATGAGCTTAAAAATGCAAAAAAATACAAAAAAATGCAAAATAAAAATTACCCATTCTATATTATTGTTATATTACGGAATATATTTAGTTTTTGGTTAGAACAGTATAGCGCTTGAATAAAAAAAATGCAAAATTGCCAAAATCCTAGCTCTATTTATTATCTAATATAGTTGTTCCGCCGCCTTGTCCAATTACTTTATGGCTCCGGAAAATATAGAAAACCAGCCGAATAATTTACTCTATTATTAAATTATTATTATTATTATTATTATTATTACTATTAATATATTATCAGCGATTTCTGTTTTCATTTTGTATTAAAAAAATAATGTTTTTTAAACTAAAATGCACTGTGTTTCACTATATTTCTAGTATTGTCATTTTACGTGAAATTATATGATTTTTCTATTAAAACTTACAGATATCCCTCTTTAAAAAAAAACAATTATAGTCATATTATATATAAAGACTAAAATGTTGCGTTCCAGCACATTGCACAAAGTGTTGATTCACGAACGGCAAACACACACAAGAAATTACAAATGAAACAAAGCCTCAGACACGACTTTGTTTAAAATATAAACACATTAAACTCTTCGGACCGACCGCAACTACCAGATCAACATCTTATTTTGGAGTTCAATATTATATATTTAAAAAGTAGACATTTTTAGTTGACCTACCATAGAAATTCGTATTAGAATTTAATAAATAATAATGAAAAAAATAACTATTATTGACTCAGCTTATTTGTGTCAACACTCAATTAATATGCTTACATACGAATTTAAATTATAACTACTGTCATTCTCATAAACATATTTATATTATATTATGTTAATATACACAACAATGATAGAATCCAACTGACAAAAGCGATTAATTATTTATGTTAATAAGAGATCATGGCACCAACGTCAAACTAGGTTATAAGATAGTGTTCGTATTGAAAAATTTGAAATTAATGTGTTTGAGATTGTAATTTTCTACAGACATTTTATTACATTTATATAAACTTCTTCATAATTTAAATAGGTACATTACGTAGGACCCTGTTCAATCCAGAAATACTGAGTTCTATACTTCTACAGTTTATAATTTAATATTTAAAACAAGTTAATAACATAACAATTTTTTTTTTTATATTTAAGAATAACAATTTGTAGGGAAGAAAATACATTTTTAAACTATGGGATTTATGTTAGGAAACAATTAAAGTGACTAAAATAATTTAACTGGTTACTAACTGGACATCGTGGAAAAGTAAGTTTGTAAAAACTTAAAAGTAACTTAACTTTGTAACTCGTTATTGCTCAACTTTGTATAAATATGGCATTATATGACATATTATTATAAAATACTGGATGAGTCTTTTGCTTAGATCTATTTACTATTTTTAGAACTTGCGTTTTCCTTAAATACATATTTATTCAAATTGTATTTCTAACTCCATGGGCGGATAGGCCCTTCGGGAATTCGGGGTTTTCCCGGTAGGCCCTCATCAATATTATACTCAGAGGCCACAAGTGGATATTTATAAGGAGACTGCAGTTATCATCATACATTACGGTAGTATTTAAAACTAATCACCTGACAATTAGTAGGTCTTTAGTTGGATGGATTTTAATTTTGAAAACGAAATTTGAATCTGATTCATAAGTTTTCTTTGTTTTGTGATTTTCAATATTGGTTTCATTTCAACTTAAATAAAAAAAGTATTTTGTATTGTGATTTATAAGTTATAACTAACAGTTACAAAATTATCAAAAATATTTAGATAACAAAATTGTAAATGAATCTAAATGTGGCCAAATTAATGTAACTAGAAAACTGAGTAAATCTTTGGAATCAGATATTCCAAAATTTAAATCTCTTAAAATTCATGTGAATACTTTAGATTCATATAATCATCAATAATATAATATGATTTAAATAATAGTTAGAAATTAGAACTTATCATGTTATTGTGCTATCATTATTATTTATATTTGTTTTTATTCATGTACATTGTACGTACTATTTTCTTTTACATTTTCATAACTTTTTCAAATAGGTAATTACTGTATTGTAGCGAACTCTATCTTTAGCTTTTATCTAAAACAAAGGATCAAATTTAATGTATTTTGAGCCTTATTTAATTTATCTTATTTTTTTATTATCTGTACTTGTAATTTGATTTCAAATAAATATTATTGATATAGCAAATTCCATCTAACGAAAATCCTATTACAGTCTTGAAGTTGTGTTGTTTGATATATGACTTTTAAGTTGTGTTTTGAGTGTGTTATAATCGGAACTCCGAGCATGAGAATGCACCGATTAAAAATAAATCATACATTTATATACGGGCGATACAATTTCCAGTTTCGAGTTTCGACTAACGACTATACGTCAATATCCTGTAATACTAACAGTATATTGTTAACTGTTAATTTAGGTATTTGTCACTTGTCAGGTTAGGTCACTGACAAGTCACCAAAATACGAAAATATAAATTTTCTTATATTTTTTCTCCTCAAAGCACGGCCGAGTACAGACTGCAGTTCACTAAAAATTTAAAAACTAGCAGATACCTAATATATATCTATTTAAAAATAAAGTAAACATATTATATAATATGCCTCATTTCTCATTTTATATTTAACTATAGATAACCTAATCAAGACCACATGAAAATACAAAATTAGAAATCGGAAGTGCAATTTCGTAATAGTGTCATAGTAAGCTGTATGATATATATTTACTATTTAGTGCCTATTATCGAACTCAGACATCCTTTAAAAGCTGATATTAAACGGAAATAGTTATTATTATATCAATGTAATTTTCAATACCTATATTGTAGTCAATAATAAACGTTATGTGTGTTAAGGTCAAAGTAGGAAATCGGTCAATGTGAACTAGGTTTGTGTACAAAATAAACGATCGCCAAAATTCCAAACATGAAAATATTATTAATTTTACATTGTGCTTAAAAGTTATCTCTGTATCA